TTTTAAAAGATTGAGAAAAAAAAAACTTGCTTTATCAGAGTAAGATAGTCATTTTATTATTTTGACATTTGTCACTGTTTGAAGAGAAACTAAATGTCAACAATTCTTTATTAAATGAATAGAAAAGATTTTCTTTTTTACTATGATAAATGATTGAGTCTCTTCTTTTAGTTAACTTGTAAGCAGAGAGGATGAAAGATTGAGATAAACATTAATACAGTGTAACCCGAATATAAGAGAAACCCGGATATAAGAGAGATTTTCTCTGGTCCCATAGTGTTCCCATACTTACCTAAACAAAATAGACCAAACCCGGATATAAGAGAAACCCGGATATAAGAGACTTCTTTTCCGGTCCCGACAACTCTCTTATATCTGGGTTACACTGTAATACACTTCTGCTTCAGGTATAAAATATGTAAGTTTTCTTAAGATGGAATGCATGGTCATCAGTAAGAGGATGTATCTTTGAAGTGGTTAAAAACAGATAAAGGTGCTACTCGAGTGAACAAACAGCAACACATGTGTAGATAAGAGAGGATTATTGTAAAAGAGAATACACTACTGAAAGACAGGGAATTGGGTGTCATGCTAGTAATTCCCAAAGAAAACCCCCAGGTATATCCTGTACTCACTATATATAGCTACTGATATAGTCAGTCCACAATAGGTGATAGGGAGTGTGGGACATTACATTACAACACCTTCCCCTGAGCTAATTTTCCCATGAAATTTTGCACACTACCTCTTCTTTTTGGGGTCAGGACATAGTTGTTTGACTTTTATCCTCTTCTTAGTACTTTTCTGTCTCACCAGAGGATGAGCCTGAAATGTGATTTGCAGGTCAGGAACACTAGAATCAAGCAGATGTGGAAGTTTAAATATTTGGGAAGCATTTCATGGCTGTTTAAAACCCTCATTTTTGTCATATAGGAAAATCCAACATGTCATGTAAATGAAATACTTGGCAGAAAATGACATTCGTCAGTAAGATTTTAAACACCTCATAGAATATAAAGTTCTTAAATCAAACCTGTGCCAAACTGTTTTCCTGAATCCTTGATGACTTGGCTGTCTGGAAATGACAACATCAAGATGAAATAATGGAAACTGACCATGAAAAACTCGGTTATGTGCAACAAGTTTTCGATCAATCGGTAAACTTCTGGAACTTTTTTGGGCGACGTTATAGGATCCAGACGGTTATTGTTTGCACATGGAATTATTCACTGGTAATTAATCATCGATTTGGCTATGGAAAATGTCACTCGGCAGTTAGCATTAAGAAATTATGCCCAGTTTTCTGAGAATAATCACCTTTTCTTTTATGAAAAAATATTCATTTTCACTTCAAAATAATATAATTCAAACTTCATCCCTTTCTCTTTAATTTGGCATAAACATCATTGAATAGAAGGAACGGCTAAAGGGCCTGGTGATGGGAAATATGAAATACATGCGGCGAAAAAAAACAATGTCATCTGCTAAGTGTTGTTGTCATCACCCGGGTCAGATTGTGTTAAAAACAAAACAAAACACATTAAGCCATTGTTCAAACATAGGTTTGAAAAAAAAAAAAAACCCAAACCTTATATCAATCCCTACCAATGTTGACCATTTTTTTTCCCTCTTTGCTCTTATCTGGGAATGGTGGGTTTTATTACAAGCTGATGACAACTTGTGCTAAACATTTATTGCTGGCTGGCTGAACTTTGACATAGACATGTCAGTCAATTTGGCTTAATTTTCCTTATCGCTGCTATTTTTGGGAAAAAAAAACAACTTTTGGTTTCTGGTGGTCAGGAATTGCAGATAAATCTTTTGCCTTTTATAAAGATTTCCATGGCTGGGTGTCAATTTTTTTAACCCCTGGTAGTTATATAATTGAAAATTACCAATGGAATTTGTTGACATTTTGACCCCCTAGGAAAGTTGATTCCTTCAAAACTCACAATTTTATGCTTGAAATAGTTTGATTATGATTTAGGCTTTCTGATTTTAAAAAAAAAAGAAAAAAAAAGTTAATTTCCCATTAATGAAGAAAATTTTTGTTTAGAACTAGAAAAAATGCAAAATTTTTACTATTTTTTCTCATTTTACCCCCTGAAATAAAAATTTGAGTCATTTACACCAGCCAATTTTACTTTAAAATGAAAGAATACATCAGAAAATACCTATTTTCATGGGGTTCAGATCAAAAGTTTCCTTGATATTTGTTTAGATCATGGTAAAACGGTGTTTTTTTTAATATTTTACCCCAATAAAAATATGAAAATACATTTTTTTCAGAGAAAATAAGCTATGACAAAATGGCTTTTGCCATTTTGGTGATGATTTTTATTTGGGATAGAAAATTTTTACCATAACAAACCTGAATTGACTTTATTTAAGTTCAGTTGGGCTATATGAAACCTCAAACAGCTGTGGTTTTGACAGAGGATGTTAAGTGCGACACTGAGGTATTGCAATGGCTAGGGATGCATTCCAAAAGCTAGGCAGAGTATTCCAAGACAGGAGGATTTCTTTGGTAACAAAGAAAAGAATACTGAGCTGTTACGTGATATCTTCTGTTCTTTATGGCAGTGTATGTTGGATAATTTCCTCAAAGAGGAAGAAGAGACCCGAGGCGACAAAGATGTGGTTCAACAGAAGTATGCTAAGGATGTCATAGATTGAACGTTTGTGCAATGATGTGGTCTTAGAGAGGATGCAAACCAGCTTATACTTCAGGAAGAGGCAGCTGAAGTTTCTGGGACACATAATGAGGAAGGAGCGCCTGGAGAATCTGATACTCATGGGTCAAATAGAGGGAAAAAGAGACTAAAGAAAACAATGTGTGACATACCTGGCGGGCTTAAGCAAATGGATGACAGAACATGGTCTGGGGGAGGAAGCAGAGGGAAGGAAGTTGTTGAGAGCTGCAAGGGATAGAGGAAGTTGTGGAGAGCCATGATCACCTACACCCTGAATGGACATGGCACATAAAAAGAAAGAAGAATAAGAGCTTGGGACAAGGCAATCAATGGGGATCAAACAGAATCTCATTTTCTCATTTAGTTAAATTTTTTGCACTGATAAATCATTTCAAAGTACTGTCATGGATTGGGAAGAAATATAAGTGTGCATTCAAAGTAACTAAAGGCACAAAGCTGTAGAGAGATATGATTTCCCTCACCCTGAAGAAAAGTCAGTTTATAGATGTAAGGGTTATGGTACTATTTCCTTATAACCTTTTGGTCTCATCTACCATATTTTTGTTCTTTCTTGTCTTAAAGTCAGACTGTTATAATCACTTGACTGTATCCTTTTTGCATGTGAACACCATTATTTTGTTTCTGATATTTTTGCTTTATTATTGTTGCTTGGCCTAGTTTCAACTTACATATTTTAGTGGAAATGAAAAGCAGGATGAACTGCCGGCTACCTTCAATGAGGCTGTTCATCTCTGTTGATCAAAAAAGACAACAGTGTACCATGTATGCAGGAGGGGATGGCCAGTGTGAATGCGAGAATGTCTACTTGCAAAAAATATAGTCACAGAGGTTGGCTGAGCAGTGTGGAGAATTTGTTTATACAAATGATTTGTGTCATACGTAGTGAGATAACCAGAGTTTGTGGGCTCAAAACAGATTTATTCTTTCGTCAGTCTGTGAGTTGCCAGCATTACTAGCATACAGAACTTTGTGATTCTGATTTCCTGTTCATCCAGTTCCCAGTTATGTTTGACCATTATTTGCGCTGTTTCTTTGTGGAATTCTTTGTCGCCTCTGCCATGGATGTGTCTCTGGTCTTGTTTTGCTTTGTTTTGTGCTGCTGTCCATTCTATCCCCCTCTCATTTGTGTTCCAGCAACAGAAAAACAAATCCTCAATATATTGTTTGTTTAGTATTATTTATTATGATCTCCCCCCCCTGCTTTTCTTGTTTATTGAAAATTTTGTGCATTCTATTTGTTGAGCATTTTTATCAATTACACTTCTGTCTTTGTTATGTGCCATGTGTGATACATGCTTAGGCAATCATGTATCTTTTGATACATGACTGATGAGGCAGATTTTTTTCCTGTAGTAGGTTGCCATTTCTTTCTGCAGTAGACCAGTTGCCATCCAAGGCTATAGAACTAGGTCTGTCCTGCTGTTTACCCATAGCTGGGGGGAGAAGAAGAGGATTTATACCTTTCTCAAGGGTATTAGCACGTAAGTGAATGTAATGGATTTGACTGGAATTCGAACTCAGCTCTCTGATTCCTCAATCTGATCCGCTATCCATTACTCCACCATTTAACCATGGCTAATTACTCTACAGCTGGTGATTAAACTGGCTCCTCTGTTCCACTTCAACTGGTATGAGGGGGCTGGTTAACAAAATTGCTAGAAGAAAAATATGACCTATGAAAGCACAGATGAACTTAGTCTCAATTTATCATAGAGAAGGCAATGGGAGATAACTGCACTATACACCCCCCCCCTGCCAAGAAAAATAATGGCAATTCACGATATAAAAATAACATAGATTTGAACGAAGAGGCCAGTTCCCTTGAAATTTTGTTCTCTAAGGAGAGACCTGAAGCAGATGTTGCCTGACTGACATTCAGCTACTGTTCCTACAAAGACAAAATCATAATTATGATATGGAATATTACGGCACTATATCAATGTGGGATGTTAGGAAATATAAAACCAGAAATGGAAAGAATAAATATCAACTTTCTGGGAGTATGTGAAAATGGATGGATGAAAAATGGAGACTTCACAAGTGACAACCACTGAATAATGTATGTAAGTGGAGAGAGAAATTAAAGAGGAGTAGGACTAATATCAGATGAAGACTAGGGGAAATATATTTTACGATAGTGGTAAATGTCAGACAGAGTTCATCTCGTGAAATTGAAAGGGAAGCCATTTAATATAGCTCTCATAGTAATATATACACTCATGTATTGTGAAAAAATAAAAAATAAAGAAATCTGGAAAAGAGAAAAATTTTGAAGAAAGAAAAAAATTAGAAGGGAGAAGGAAAGAGCAAGAAATCTGAAATGGACAAGGAAAGAGCAAGAAATCTGAAATGGACAAGGAAAGAGCAAGAAATCTGAAATGGACAAGGAAAGAGCAAGAAATCTGAAATGGACAAGGAAAGAGCAAGAAATCTGAAATGGACAAGGAAAGAGCAAGAAATCTGAAATGGACAAGGAAAGAGCAAGAAATCTGAAAGGGAGAAGGAAAAGAAATAAATCTGAAAGGGAGAAGGAAAAGAAATAAATCTGAAAGGGAGAAGGAAAAGAATTAAATCTGAAAGGAAGAAAAAAAAATCTGGAAGGAAGAAAGAAATCTGAAAGGGAGAAAGAAAGATCTGAGAAGGAAGGAAGGAAAGAAAGAAAGATCTGAGAAGGAAGGAAGGAAAGAAAGAAAGAAAGATCTGAGAAGGAAGGAAGGAAAGAAAGAAAGATCTGAGAAGGAAGGAAGGAAAGAAAGAAAGATCTGAGAAGGAAGGAAAGAAAGAAAAAGATCTGAGAAGGAAGGAAAGAAAGAAAGAAAAAGGTCTGAGAAGGAAAGAAAGAAATCTGAAAGAAAAAGATCAGGTGGTGAAAGGTAGGTGAAACTGAAAAACCACTTACGGTGAAGAGATAAAGAAAACGTCTATGGTTCAGTTGAGCGTAAAAGAAAGTTACGAAAGTAAGCAAATGAATAAAAAAAAAAATCTGACAAAGAGTTGGAGAATGAATTGCAGGGACGAACAATAAGAAAAAAGAAAAAGAGATGAAGAAAAAAATGCGAAGAAAATCAAAGCAGCCAAAACTAACACAAAATAAAACTGAGTAGGAGAAGAAATAATTACCAATAACAACAAGACAACGACGACTGCATTAACAACAGAAGTGCAAAGAGAGTAAGTGGATATCAATTACAAAGCATAGTTTAGTAGTTGGGCACAGCGTAACTTTAATTCTTCGAATAATTTCGGATTTCTTGGATTAAAAATTTCTCGTTAATTTTTAGTGCCTTTTTTTTTTAATAATACGGTTTTTCTATGATCGTTAAGCGCAGCTTAGTCAGGCACCAGGTTACCTTGGGCATTTTTACTTTAAGTAAGGTAAGGATAGAGAACGAACTAAAAAAGGGCTTCTTGTGTCAAGAGAAATAATAATCTGTGTGACTCGATAAACAGATCGGAAACGGGAGATAAGAAGTCTACGAAAACTTAATGTCGGGAGAGCGAGGAGATTAAAGTCAGAAGTACAGTAAAAACGAAAAAAAAAAAAAAAAAACATAGAGAGAGAAAGAAAAAAGAAGTGTTGGAAATGGAAAGATGTCAAAGGACGGAGAAAGTATGGGAGTAGGAGTAGAAAGGGTGGAGTTAAACGCAACGCTGGAAAGGGTAGGAGGAGAGCAGAAAGAAAAAGCGTGAGTAGGAGGAGCAGAGACAAGGGGCGGAGCTACGAAATACGCAAGCGACAGGAAAATGAAAGTATTTATTTTAATTCCAAGACTTAGGCTGGATTAAAAAGTAAGTCTTCGTTCGATTAACGTAAGGATTACAAAAAAATTAAAGAAGAAAAAAAAAATGGTAAAGAGGATAAACTGGGACCTTATTAATCTACGACAAATCTTCCAAAGATTTCAAATGTGACATATCTAAGCCCCACGCGTTTTAACAAATAAAACAATGAAGCACATGAAATAAGTTTCAGTTCTGTGTTATTGAAAAGAATTCTTTTGTAGTTATTTTCTTAGAATAAAATATAAGAATCAATTCGGCAGTAATATATATAATATATATATATATATATATAAAATAAACTAAGCAGGGATAAAAGTCCTAAATATTTAAAATTTAGGGAATTCCAAATTTTAAAGAATTTTTATATTTCTTTGGGTTTTGAAGCATGAACAAGAATTAACATTGACGATAAAATAAGTCATAATTTCATATTTTTAAACTTGAAAACGTAGTAATAAGACCTTTTTCTTTCTCACTCAACCTACCTCCTTTCTTTCTCTCTCTCTCTCTCTCTACCTCCTTTCTTTCTCTTTCTCTCTCTACCTCCTTTCTTTCTCTTTCTCTCTCTACCTCCTTTCTTTCTCTTTCTCTTTCTCTCTACCTCCTTTCTTTCTCTCTCTCTCTCTCTACCTCCTTTCTTTCTCTCTCTCTCTACCTCCTTTCTTTCTCTCTCTCTCTCTACCTCCTTTCTTTCTTTCTTTCTCCCTCTCTCTCCTTTCTTTCTCCCTCTCTCTCCTTTCTTTCTCCCTCTCTCTCCTTTCTTTCTCTCTCTCTCCTTTCTTTCTCTCTCTCTCTCCTTTCTTTCTCTCTCTCTCTCTCTTTCTCTCTCTCCTTTCTTTCTCTCTCTCTCTCTCTCTCTCTTCCCTTTCTCTCTCTCTCTCCCCCTTTCTCTATCTCTCTACCCCTTTCTCTATCTCTCTACCCCTTTCTCTATCTCTCTACCCCCTTTCTCTATCTCTCTACCCCTTTCTCTATCTCTCCCCCTTTCTCTATCTCTCTACCC